GAAGCAGTCAGCTCTCTCTACTGCCCTCCCCTCAAGGCCGTGATGGCCTCCCTGGCTGCGACAGTGACCGATTCCGATCAATGCGAGCACGGCCAAGTTGCGCGGGCCGGGCCCCCACATGAATCCTTGCATTGCGCATGGGCACGCTGCACGAACGACTACGGGAAACGCCAGGAAGAGGACGTTGCTCACATGGTCGTAGGGCCAACGAGGTGCTAATGGGGTTCGACAGGGCTCGAGCTGAGTGGCGCACGGCCAAAAAGAAGACGTACCCACCAGCGCTATGCTGGCTATTGGCCGACGGCATCATGGACGCAGTCAATCATATGCGCGCGTCACGTGATGACGATGCGTGGCAAGAAAAGATGGGGGAGGAAGAGGAGGAGGAGGAGGAGGAGAACGAGGGGGAGGAGGAGGAGGAGGAGGAGGAGGAGGAGGAGGAGGAGGAGGAGGAGGAGGAGGAGGAGGGAGGGGGAGGAGGAGGAGGAGGAGGAGGAGGAGGAGGAGGAGGAGGAGGAGGAGGAGGAGGAGGAGGAGGAGGGGGAGGGTGTTTTTGTCAGAGTGAGCCACAGACCAGTGTACTGTCGACAGTGTTTTGCCTTGTTCATGTGCGCTCTATCTCCGCTGCCGTTTGGATCAGGGATTGTTCGCAGTGCGGGGCACTAGACAAAACCTTGCATCTTTATGTCTCTGCACATCATGTGGTCAGCCAGTGGGAAGCAGTGGTTTTCCCATTGGTAGCGGAGCAGGTTGCTCCAGCGTCCTAGGAGGGACGCCCAGTTCCTGCCGGGAGGCGCCGGCAGACGACAGACCACAACATGACGACAGAGTCCACGGAACCGAAGGGGCTTCGGTATTTCAACGAAGATGGCGGTCAGAGCAGCAATCAGGAGCTGCGCAAGTGGATCAAGTGGGTTCGTTCGGCGATGGCATGCCGAAAGCTCGAGTCCACGCAGAAGGGGCCTCTCGTCTACACACTGCTGCAGGGATCAGCGCTGGAGATTGTAGACCATCTTGAGTTTGAAGACTATGAGGTATAGGACGGTGAACAGATCCTGTTAGACCTCTTGTTGAAGCGCTGGCCTGCGAAAGAACAGGAGGATACCCTCGGCGAGCACCTGGAGGCGGTGTTCACGCTCCAGGGACGGGAAGGGGAACCCATCGCTGCCTGGCTGGGCCGGGCGAAGGAGGTGTTTCAGAAGTGTGGTGTCAAAGCCAACGTGCAGTTTCCGACGGAGGCCCAGGCCTGGATCTTGTTGCATCGGTGCGGGTTTACGCCTGACCAGCGGGCCATCGTGAAGGCGAAGGCGGTGAAGTACACGGCGGACGCCATGGAAGAGGCGATTCGAGCGGTGTTTCCCACTTACAAGGTGCCGAAGCAGCGACGTGCCGAGGCGGGCGCGTTCCTGGCTGACCAAGCATAGGATGATGAAGACGGTTTTCCTCCCTCTCCGCTGCCGTGGCAGTATGAGACGGAGGCGGTCCAGGAGGATGACTTCGCGGACGTCGATGCCCTCCTGGCCGAGGGTTCTCTGGAGGCGGCAGTGCCCGACGAGGTCTTCGAGGAGGCTGAGTTGGTCGAAGTGCTGGCGGCAACGTGGAAGGAGAAACGTCAGGAGATCAACGATGCCCGCAAGACGCGGAATTTCCAGAAAGCAGACAATCTGCAGATCACCTTCCGCCGCGAGCTCGAGGAGGCCAAGCGGAAGACCCGGTGCCACGCCTGCAAGCAGATCGGCCACTGGTCCCGAGAGTGCCCGAAGAAGAAGGGCAAGGGTTTCGGCAAGCGCGGCAAACCTTCGGCGGCGGCGGGGGCAGCGTTCGTGGTCCTGGAAGGAGCCGGAGCGCATGATGCCAGCCTGGCCACCATGTTGCAGCAGATGCGGGCTCGTCGTGCCGTGGCGGAGCCGGGCGAGGGTAACCCGATGGAGATCCTCTTCGCATGCCCGACGGGCAAAGGTGTGGTGGATCCTGGCTGTAGTAGGACACTCATCGGGGAGAACCCGCTGGCGAAGCTGAAGTCCCTGTTGGAGTCCAGAGGCCAGCGCTTGGAGTTCTACGAGGAGATGAACGTGTTCAGGTTCGGAAACAGTGTTCGAGAGGAGTCGAATCTGGCGGTCAAGATCCCTGTCGAGATCGGCCAGGTGCAGGGCTACATCACGGCCGCGGTGGTACGGGGGGACGTCCCGCTCCTGCTGAGCAAGCCGCTGCTGAAGGCCCTCCAGGGCCGTATGGATTTCACGACGAATCGGATCTCGTTCGACGCACTGGGGACCACGGTGGACCTCGAGGAGACAGAGTCCGGAAACTATATCATGCTAGTGGTCGCAGACATCGCGGATGTCTGCACGGTGGCGGCCAGCAACGAGCCGCTATTGCCGAGGGAGCCCACGACGGAGCCTGAGAGCTTGAAGGGCTCGGTGGAGGAGGAGAAGGAGAAGGCCACGGAGGACACGGAGGAGGAAATCCCGAAGGAGACCAATATGGAGGTGGAGATGAGTCAGGTGATCCCTGGGGCCACGGAGAACTTGGAGGAGCCCGGGACCTCGGTGCTGAAACGCAAAATCCGACGCCAGTTGCAAGAACATCTTCGGGAGGCTCTAGGTATTTCCCATGAGAAAGTACTATGGCGGGTTTCGGAACTGTTTTCCCCACCTCGGGTACTGAAGCGGGCCGAAGAGACCAACCGTGGAACGGGACGTAGTTACGACTTACTGACGGGTTACGATCTTTCCGACCGGACGGTTCAACATAAGATCACCAACGAGCTGAAACGGTTTCGACCCCGTGTGCTGGTGGCATGCCCCCCCTGTACCTGGTGTGGCGGTTTTGCGACGGTGAATGCACGACTGCACAGTATGACGGAACATATGCGTATGGTACGGGAGGCACGTGCGCACATACGGTACTGCATATGCGGGATACATGCACAACTCGATCGCGGATACGATGCCGTATTTGAACACCCCGTGCGTTCGATTGCGTGGAGGATGCCCGAGATGCAGCGTTTACGGGAACGGATGTTGGAGATATCGACCGATATGTGTGCACACGGTCTACGAGAACCCGGGTGCCCCAACTTTATGAAGAAACAAACTCGTTTGCTGGTTTCGTCTCAACGACTGGCTCAGTGTCTGGGTAAACGGTGTCCCGGGAACCACGATCATATGACCATCGAAGGAAAGTCGAACGGTGTTTCTGGGAGTAAATGGGCAGGTTTATATACGACGGACTTTTGTGAAGCGATCTTGCGAGGCACCGACGACCTCGCACAGTTCTGGGCCGCACGTGTGGACGCTCCTCTGAGTTTTGAGCAGGAGCTGTCGCTTCTGCCCCTGGAGGCCAGCCTACGCGAGGTCTCACAACGCGGGAGTCTGCAGCTGCTAGAGGCCGAGCTGTCTCAGTGCTGCTTGGCCGCGGACCTGGAGGATCCCGAGGCTGAACAGGACCAGCCCAACTCTCCTTCCCCTATTGCAAATGCCCAGAACATCCGAAATGCCCTCAGGAAGCTACACGTTAACCTGGGCCACGCGGCCCCTCGGGAGATGGTCCGGATCCTACGACACGGCGGGGGACACGATGAGGCCATTCGGCTGGCACGAAGTTTTCGGTGTGATACCTGCGATGAAAACAAGATGCCGAAACCATCTGGAACCGTCTCAGGACATCGGATTTTGGAGTTCAACAAACAGGTAGGAATCGACGGGGTAAACATTCCCGGCTGGAAGGGACCTACACACACGGTTCCCGCACTCAATATTGTGGACGACGCGTCGTCCTTCCAGGTGATGGTACCACTGTTACAGGGAGAAAACTCCGGGACGATTCGGGAAGACTACCGACAGCTTTGGAAGCGTTTGGCCGGTCCAGCCGAGCGTATTGTGGTGGATGCGGGGAAGGCCAACATTGGGGCCGCCCTTACGGACCCACTGGAGCTCGAACAGAACGAGATTGTGCCGGTAGCGGGGGAGGGACAATGGCAAAACGGAAAAACTGAATCACACGGGGGATGGTGGAAGCGGATTTTCAAGAAACTACTGGAAACGGTCCAACCTCAGAATTATGATGAGTGGGCCGAGTGTGTCGATGCGACGACTGACGCCAAGCAGCGCATGCTGCGGGTGGACGGCTATTCCCCTTATCAACATGTGTTGGGCCAGGAACCCCGACTCCCTGGAGATTTGCTTCAGGACGCTGTCGATGCGGTGAGCGCGACTGGCCCGTTGTATGATACCGCCTGTGCCAAATCCCGCGAGATACGCCAACAGGCGATGCATGCTTTGCTCCAGGCCCGGGACGATCAGGATCTCCGTCGTCCTGTCTCTTCCCGAAACCGAGTTACTCACGCTTTCCAACCCGGGGACAAGGTGGCCTACTGGCGGAAGGGGAAGAAGGCCCATGCGAGGTGGCATGGACGCGGAATACTTATCGGTCAACAGGGGCGAAACTGGTGGCGATCCCATCGGGGACACCTCATTCGGGCCGACCCTTCCCAACTCCGACCGGCCTCGACCAGCGAGGTACAAGCAGATCAACTTGTGGAGCAAGTGCTCCAGGATGAGAAACAACGACTGAGCTCCGTTGGGGGTCACCTACACTTCTTGGACCTCACCAAGCAGGAGTTCCCCATGGCCCCTCCAAAGTTCCATGACAGTAGGCCCGTTACAGAGACCCCGATCGAAACTCCCACCGAGATAGCCGAAACCCCGAGTGCTCATATCGACCCCAGAGGTCTCGTTATGACAGGACCTCCAGTGCCTCCCGAGCCTCCGACCGGGTCCCCAACGACTCCAGCAGTAGGTCCGGCACAGCCCGTCCAACAACCACGACGACGTATGACTACGAAACGACCTATCGACGAGGTCATGCAGCCCGTGGCCCAACAGGGCCCACGCCTTTCCGTGACCACCGAGGGACGAGACTCGACGATGCTCGACGACGAACCACACGACGACGACCTCCTACCCCTGATAGCTCCCGAGGACTTTGCTGTTGAGACAATGCCGCTGCTCCGACAGGCTACACGAAGCCAGTCCCTCGAGCGTGAGGCTCTCCTGTGTCAGGCCGAGGGGCCCGAGGTTGCTGCTCTCACGACGGCGGCCATCGAACACATTGCCCGGGTAGAAGCTACTAATACCACTGGATGGCGCCAACCCTTTACGACACTGTTGGCTGGAGCCATCTCACGACGCGGTCGGAAGGAACTCAGTTTCAAGGGCGCCTCCAGCGAGCTGATCCGCAAAGGCGAGACGGCCCGTGCCCTGGAGGTCGACAATCTGATTCTGAAGGGATGTCTACGGGTGGTACCCAAGAGGGAGGAGCAGGAGGTGAGGACCAAGTGGAGTTCCCGGTTCATCCCAGGACGTTTTGTGATGACTGAGAAGGAGGAGGAGGGCCAACCTACCCGTATCAAGGCCCGCTGGTGCCTCAGGGGGTATCTAGATCCCGACCTATCTGAACTGATTCGAGAGGGGAAGCTACAGAGTCCTACTATTACGCCTTTCGGGAGAGCGGTATGCCTGCAGATGGTGGCGAGCCACCAGTGGGATTTGCAATTCGGTGATGTGCACTGTGCTTTCCCAGAAGCCAAGAACATCCAGAGACGGGAACCACTTTCCACGACATTACCCAAGGGCGTTCCAGGACATCCTGAGGGGGAGATTATGGAAGTTACCGGAAACCTGTACGGGAAAAACGATGCACCGTTTGACTGGTTTCAGGAATGTAATGGCTGTTTACGACAACTTGGCTTCTGCCCCAGTCGATTTGACCCCTGCCTCTACTTCCTACGAGACCACGGTAATCGTGTGGGTGTGCTGGCTTGCCACGTGGATGACAGCATCACGGGCGGGCATGGCGCTCTGTATGACGAGGCTATCCAACTCCTGCGCGAACGATTTCCGTTTCGCAAGTGGCAGACCCACACTGGCGAATTCTGTGGCACCCACTACACCCAGGACCCCGAAACAAAAACCATCCAGGGGAACCAGGCCAAGTTCGTGGAGAAAATGCGGCCAGTTCGTTTTAGCCGACAACGACTGCGGGACCCCAAAGCCAAGGCCAACGCGACCGAGATTGCCCAGGGACGATCCTGTTTCGGAGACGGTGGATGGGTGTGCAAGGAGACCCGACCAGATCTTTCCCGTCAGGTCTCTTTCGGCCAGAGCTGTTTTCCACAGCCTACTGTGGGTGAGTTAGCTCAGAGTGCTGCGATGGTGCGTCGTGCCAAACAATATGCGGACTTGGCAATTACTTACCTGCCGATACCACCCGGACAACTGACCATGATCGCACACCTGGATGCAGCCTGGGGAAATGCGAAAAACCACGGAACCCACGCTGGATATGTTCTGGCGTTCACGTCTACCGACATGTCCCTCGGCAAAGAGGCCCCCTGGACCCCGTTTAACTGGCGTTCGTTTCGACTTAAACGACTGGTACCCAGTACACTGTCGGGAGAGGCTCAGGCAGCCTCCATATGCTGTGCTGCCCTGGAGTGGATGTCCTTGCTGTTGTATGAGGCCCTCGACGGGCCCATCGATGTGAAGAATATTGACGACTGTATGTGTACGCGGGAACCAATTGTGGTTTGATATGACCATGTGAAAGCGAACACCTCCCCCTCCAGCCTAGAAGACAAGCGGTGTGCCATCGATGTGGTGGTGATCAAAGACTCGGTCAAACGCTGCGGTGCGAGTTTCCGCTGGTGCCCGACAAACCGACAACTAGCTGACGCCCTTACTAAGGATGAAGGGGACCCCGCAGACCTCTTGCGGGCCTGCATGAGAGCCAATAGGTACCAACTTGCCGACGAACAGTATGTGCTTGAATTAAAAGCTAGCGAACGGGAGAACCGACGGTCACGTGGGGCCCAAAGAAAGGAACAATCGACGAGGATGCCTGGGGATCCTGTGTGATTGTGCTGACGTTTGGGAATAAGGACCGGGTTTCAATGCATGAATACGTGCGTGTATGTGCCACACGTGTACTACCAACACGTGCGTGCTCCGACTCCTGCTACCCTGGTTTGAGACTCAGACCACAATATTTCTCCGTGCCCTTTGTTGTGTGACGCGTGAGTGTGTAGACACTCGTGCCTTGCCAGCGCAGAGTTACCCAGCCGCCATGGTCAAGAAGGATCCTCCAGAGACCCCAGCCGTTACCGGTGAGGATTTCGCTCAGCGCCTACACCAGGCTCGGCTCAAGGTGAAAGGCGAAGCCATTACCTTACCTGCGCCACGTTGGGTTTCGGCAAGCACAAGGGGAAGAGTTTCGAGACGGTCTGGGAGACAGAACAGGGTTACTGCTCATGGTGTTTGGCTCACCTGAGCCCGTCCAGCGGCTATAACCAAGCCGCATGGCTGGCGTTCCTCGTAGAAAAGACCGAGAACGGTGATGTGCGCCCCGAGGGCAGTGCCAGGACCAGTTCCGATCCGGACGACTCGGCCCTGAAGCAGGTGATGGACCAGTTTCAGGATGCTGCCACCGACCTTGACAGTCGTGTGTCGTGGCTCGAGGAGGCCGACCATTTCACTCAGATAGATTCCTGGCTTGAGGCCCTCGAGACCAGAATGGTTCAGATGGAGCACGCACTGACCAGGATTTTAGAGGTTTTGAGCGGCGCTGGCATGCCAGTGACCCTTCAGTAGCTTTGCTGAGGTGTGCTGTATGAGTGGACAGCTCTGCCTAGCACGACATGGCTCTGTGTTTCTGTCTTTTCACTTCTCGTTGCTGTTTCCACAGTTGAGATTTTAGAGCAGTGTTTTTGTCAGAGTGAGCCACAGACCAGTGTACTGTCGACAGTGTTTTGCCTTGTTCATGTGCGCTCTATCTCCGCTGCCGTTTGGATCAGGGATTGTTCGCAGTGCGGGGCACTAGACAAAACCTTGCATGTTTATGTCTCTACACATCATGTGGTCAGCCAGTGGGAAGCAGTGGTTTTCCCAGAGGGGGAGGAGGAGGAGGAGGAGGAGGAGGAGGAGGAGGAGGAGGAGGAGGAGGAGGAGGAGGAGGAGGAGGAGATGGAGGAGGAGGAGGAGGAGGAGGAGGAGGAGGATGAGGAGGAGGGGGAGGAGGAGGAGGAGGAGGAGGAGAAGCATCGTGGGTCACTTAGTGCATTTCGTGTAGCATGGGACCCATGCCTCGGGACCGATGAAACCTGGGCGCCAGAGTTCGTGGCACCCCGGGCCGGACGGGTCCGAGCGGACCCTGAGCGGCACAGGTTTCTACCGCCTGAGCTGCCACCCTCGGAATCTCCTGAAGCTGGGATGGTTTTTGACCCTGAAGCCGCACCTCGGGACCCGGGCCCCGTCGAGGCCACCGACGAGCAAAAGCACGCTGACACTGTTTGGCCCGTCTTGAAGGCACCAGCATACCGCAACCAGAGGACGCCGAGCCCCCTGCTTCTCCCCCCTCTCTGTTCCGCCTTCCTCCCCACGGCCTGTTGAGCTCACCGACGCGCTGCGCCAGCGGATGGCAGCCAACCGCGCGCAGGCCCGGGAGCGTCGCAGATTGCGCCTCGCCCAGACGGTAGCCCCGTGGACGTTGCAGCCCGACTTCGGGCTCGGACTGTTTGACAATGCGCGTGACCAGTCAGTTATCGTTGGAGGTGCAGCGTGGCAGCAGGTCCTGGGAGTGAGATGCCTCAGCCATCTCACAGCCTGCGCGATGCTTGCCTCACGTTCGCCTGTCGTGGGCCCCGTTTTTTCCTAAGATGGAGTCTGCGCCAGCCCGACTTACACTTGTCCGTCTTGACTTGCCAACGCTTCTCTCTGGACCAATCAAGGACCCGATCATTTGAGGGGTACTTGTGGGGTTAATCCGTCTCTCTCCGACTCAGGTGTCAGCCTCTCGAATGCCACAGGATTCCAAGCTGCACTGTGCCACGATTCTTGCGAGCCCCTGATAGGTTAGTGGTCTCCCAATCGAGAACATCGGCCGTCAGGCGTATTACGATATACGTCTTGCGGGAATTGATCTTGGAGTTCTGAAGGTGTCCTGGGGCCTTCACTCGCCAGTTTCTCGTGGGGCGACGCTCGTCTGCTGAACGAACTTCCAGCATGGGGAGGCGGGTGGATGTTGATTGCGGGGGGGGGGGGCTGGGAGCGGCGCGGCAGCGTAGCAGCGAGCGCCCCCGCCGCCCGCCCGCTGCGAGTACTGCGGGTACCCTCGGGGAGAGAGCGACGAGCGGCCCTCGATCCTCGTTTCGAAACACCTAGGTTTCAAGTCGCCAAGTTTTGCTGAGTCAGTCAGAACGCGTCTTGTTCTGATCCCTTCCCCGCCGCGCGCCAGGTACCCGTCTTTCCGCCAGGTAGGAGGAGGATGGGAGGAGTTCAGAGTGCAGTTGGGTGCAGACATCGTGCAAGTCCCCCATCGTGCACTCTGTTCGTGCGGACGGTCTCGCAGTCTTGCCGTACAGCCTTGCTTGGCCTGGTTACCAGGGCCGCGTCGCCAGCATCGGTTCAGGACCGCCCCGCGCCCTGTGTCGCTGCCGCCGATCCGACCAAGGTTGAAAGCTTTACTGGCCGACTGTCCCGTAACCTTAGGTGCCCGTGCAGAGTTTTCGTTTTACGACTTTTAGTGCAGCCTCTGAATGTGCCTAATTGTCTCTGCCATTTGCGTTCCACAATTCGCTAACAGGTTATGTGCTTCATCAGCGTCGCAATCAAAAGAAAACCTCCCCACATTTTCTCTACCTCCCCCTTGATCCACGTCTGACTTCTCCCCCGCGCCTTCTCCTCCTCTCCTCCTATCCTCCTTCTCTTCGTTCTCCTTCTACTTGTCCTCCACCTCCTCATCCTGTTGCTCCTCCTCATTTCGTCCTCCATCTCCTCATTCATCCGTCTGCCTTAAAAACAATCCTCCGCGCCGCACCATCAGAAGGCAAGCATGAGACCTCACCACCAATTATGATCGTGAAGCTTGGAGGCATTCACTGTCTCGCCTGGGCGCCAAGCACATTCGTCTAAACAATGTCCAACAAGTACTGAGATGGAGGGCGGTCCGGTGTCACAAAGCAGCACTCGTCGCAGCGCCGCGCAAAAACATGCTTGAAAGCTTACGAAGGTTATAAGGATGGAGGGCGGGTCCTTGTCTCAGAACCAACTGCGCAACCTGGTGCAACAGTTGCAAGGATGGAAGGCCGCTCCTTTTGAAAGCGGGACGACTTGTTGTTGCCCTTCTGACGTACTGAAGATGCACTTCTCATCGTTCTGCTTGAACTGTCTGAGGGTGCTTCTTCGCAATTCTTTAAGCTCGAAAGATGCAAGGCAGGTCCTTCGAACAACAGGGTTCTCGCCTGAATGAGGCCCATGAGCCTCTCGTATTTCCAAGGGTTGCGTCCCGCAGTGAGAGGTAATGCATGCGGGGACGCATGAGGGGAGGACCTGGGACGAGAGGGTGTTTTTCCACCGCAAACATCCATGCAACACCCAAGCCACCGCAAGCGGTGAAACGGCCCATAGCCTGGGGTCTCGACCAAAATGCACTGGTTCAATCGGGAGGACTTCAGAATGCTGTGCGTGCCAGTCGTGTACTCATGCACGCGCCGAGCACGCAAAAGAAGGGAGAAGAGGGAAAGGACGGAGGGAGACAGGTGGAGAAGGGGACAACAGCAATCTCCCACCGGGCATATTGAGGCAAAAGAATGATCCACGACCTCAAACCGCAGAGCCGGCGAGAACATACAAACTGGCGCCGCAATTCGGCGGGTAAGGGAGGACGGAAGAAGGAGGAAAAGAGCGAGAAACTAGGAAGAGTGGGTGCACACTGGACTCTCGAGGAGCCAAAAACATCTCGGCACAATTGCTCAAGACTGCGCTGAAGTCATCCCTACAGACTACAGCAGCAGGTGCCCAAAAAGGAGGGCGCGGGAGACCGCCAGGCCAAGAGGACGAGAGGAGCAGAAGGCCAAATGGCACCGCGACCATGCGCCGACCAGACGACATCGCCAGGCAAGCTCGGGACGCCGTGCGGGCAAACCTGGAATACGTAGGCGATCCCGTGGAGCTGGATGCCGTGCGTCCATAAGATCACCGCAGCATCGTTGATGCAGCATCGCTGTTCCTCCTCCTCCTTCTCCATCCTCCTCCTCCTCCCTCCTCCTCCCTCCTCCTCCTCCTCCTCCTCCTCCTCCTCCTCCTCCTCCTCCTCCTCCTCCTCCTCCTCCTCCTCCTCCTCCTCCTCCTCCCCGCCTCCTCCTCCTCCCTCCTCCCATCCTCCACCTCCTCCTCCCTCCCCCTCCTCCTCCTCCTCCTCCTCCTCCGCCTCCTCCTCCTCCTCCTCCTCCTCCTCCTCCTCTCCTCCTGTTCTCTCCTCCTCTCCTTTTCCTCCTCCATTGCGCCCGTCCCAGCCCCCATTGCCGCGCCCCCCCTCCTCCATGTTCCCCTCCTCATGCTCATCCTCCGTCTCCTCCGTCCTACTCGTGATCGTCATCGCGACCACGACCTCCACCATCGCACCATTGTCATCATCAGCATCGCCACCGTCACCACGACCCCAATACTCATCCTTCGGCCACCCAGCAAAGCGTTCGTCCAGTTGTTGGTTGGCATATGTAAGCTTCCTAAAGCGCCGTCTGATTCGCGACACGTCTGACCCACAACCCCTGCAAGCCCAAATGCCCGCCTGGTTCCCAGGTGAGTCTTACAGACCAGCATCATCTGCACGTCCTCTTCCTTCGTGACCGCCATGCTCGTCGCAGATGTCTGAGATCTGTGATAAGGCTTGGGTAAGCCGAGCAGGTGCCGCGCACAACTTCTCGTGTGCATGGGCGTGCCATGGAATTCCACGCCTCGTGCGCATCGGATAAGCATGCGCACGCCAAGTATGCATTCAAAGCACGATCCCATACGCGCGCACACACACACACACACACACACACAGATACACACAATCACACACATACTGAACAAAACACGTGTGTGTGTGTGTGCTGCATGAACCTGTCCCGCCTTCCCTCTACTGGCCACGAACACGATGGCGGTGCGCGAGGAAAAAAACATCCGCATGGGTTTGCGCACATCATCAACCGCAACGCCGCTACTGCAAACAACAAACAACAAATGCCTGACCTTGTCAACCGCAGCCGTCTATGTAATCAAGATTGGTTTGAATCAAAACGGCTTCAGAAGCACACCGCTGAACCTTCCCTGGCCAGTCCTCCCTGTAGCCCCAAGACGCAAGTCAGAGTCCGGAAGAACACGCCGAAACAATCAAGCACGCTTGCACACGCTCGCGCGGCGAACCACCATGTCACTCCTCACTGGTCGGCAGGACTGGCTGGCACACAGCAACCAAAGCTGACTGATCTTGCACGGCGGCGGCTCCCCCGATCGTCATGCGAATGCCTGCAAGAAATGGAGAACACAGGATCCGCCAGTTTGCCGCGAGACGGTGGAGCTTCCTCGTGTCCCTTCGAAGTGTCTTCCATGGAGTACGGTCGGGAATTTTGCTTAGCGTGTCGCGGCGGCGGCCCCAGCGACACGCTATACCCTACAAACGGATAGAGTGTCGCTCCGCTCCGCGGGAAGTTGACATTTGAAAACCAGGACGCGGATGGCGTGTCGCGCCGAAGCGCGGTGTGCCAGAGCTGGCGGCGCGACACGCGAACTCCAAATTCCCGATCGCGTCTTGAAAGGTCCGAAACCCCAGTCTCTTTGGCGCCCCTGGGGCTTGTCGCGGGACTTCCCCGAAGCCTAAGAAGCTCATTCGACATCTGAACGTCCAACATCCCGCACAATGCCAGCAAGGGACCGTCCTCGAGCCTCTTGCGGCCATCTTGGACGCTCATGCGAGTGTGCACACTTCATGCGGAAACCCGAGGCTAATCAGGAATACTGGCTTCTTGAATTGGGCCCCAGGGCCTCAAAGACGGCCCAAGAGACCCCCAGGATGGCTCCCAAAAAGGCCGCAAGAGGGGTCCAAGAAGGGTCCAAGAGGGGCCCTCCTCTACCCCAAGATGGCCCCCGAAACCGCCTTCAGGACCCCAAGAAGCAGTCGCCGTAGAGAGCCCCAAAGTGGCCTGAGAGGGCACCATGAGGCCCCCAAGGAGCCCCACACGGCCTAAAATCCCAAATCTCCTCCTCCTCCTCCTCCTCCTCCTCCTCCTCCTCCTTCTCCTCAGCCATTCCTCTCGGGGAAGAAGGGGCCCAGGCTATCAGCCGCCGACTTGGGAGTGGCATTGCGGTTGATGAGACATCAAGAATAGTAGGTCCCCGCGTCCGCAGCAGCAGCGCTGGAGGTAGGACCCGCCGAGGCACGCGCGCACGATGACGTCCTCGTTGCCTCTGGCTTTCTCTCCCCCTCTCACGCCTCGCCATCGAGGACGCGCGACTGGATCACTTTCCAGGCTGAGATGAGATCACCAGATGGTCTCAAAATGCCGATCATGTTCACCTGTGACGTGAACGGCAAGTGCGCAAGAAAAGGGGCAGAGTCCAACGTCGGCAGCTACAACAGCTCCGACCAGGCGAAACTTGAGCAAGATGCCAGCAGCGACAGCGCTGCAATCAGGGAGAGCGCCGGCCCGACCCCTAGCTGCGAACAGCGGGAGGTGAAGTACGAGCCCGAGGTCATCAGCTACAGCGCTGGCGACGGCGAGGGACGAGCGGCCACAGCGAAGGATGAGCCCGACGTCGTCAGCTACAATGCGACGACGACGACGAGCAGCGAGCACGAAGGCGACGGGACGGCGAAGAACGAGCCCAACGTCGTCAGCCACAGCGCGGCGACGAAAATCCGTCACTGCGAGCGTGAGCGAGGGGACGGCGACGGACGAGCCCAATGACAGCAGTTACAGCGCTGGAAATAGGGCACACCCGACGGCGGCCTCGCGTCACGTGAGAAAGGCGAGCAGGGGCAGCAGGCTCTTGCGCTACTCGACGAGAAGGTGAAGGCGAAGCGAAAGCCCGACGTCATCACTTACAAGAAGGCTGAGGCCCCATCCTGCGAGAAGCGGAAGCGAAGCAGGAGCCTAAACGAGTCACTGATGGCACTGGGAACAGCGTGTGCGAGAAAAGGGGGCGAAGCTGGAGCCCAAGGTCGTCGCCTACTCCGCCGTGCAGAACGTGTGCGATAAGGGCGTGCAGTGGCAGCAGACTCTTGCGCTACTCAAAGATAGGTTGAAGGCGAAGCAAAAGCCGGACGCCATCAGTGCTCAGCTGGAGCCCGAACGAGACGGCGACAACGCTGGGCACAGCGCGTGCGAGACAGGCGAGCAGTGGAAGCAGGCGCTGTCGCTACTCAACAAGAGCAGGAAGGCGAAGATGGAGCCCGATATCATCAGCTATCCGCCGCTACACTGCGAGAAATGCGAGGCGAAGCTGGAGCCCGAGCTGGTCAGTAACAACGCTGGGAGCAGCGTGTGCGATACGGGCGAGCTAGGGCTGCAGGCCCAGCGCGAAGGCAAAGGGGCAGGCGGCTCGGACGCCATCCTGCGAGAAGTGGGAGGTGAAGTTAGAGCCCGACGTCGTCAACAGCCACGCTGTGCCGCAGGAGGTCGGACGAGTTCTCCGACAAAAGGCAGGGATAAGCTCGTGCGAGAACACTACGGGGAACGTGGAGCCGATGGGGTTCTCTGCTACAATGCGAGAATCGGATCGGGCGAGAGCCAAGGCAGTGGCAGCAGGCTCTGTTGCCGCGGGGGTCCGACGAACCAGTCTAGGGTGCAAAGATCAGCTCGTGCGAGAATGTGAGAGTAGTGTGAGAAATCTGCTTCCTGGTTGGCTGGCGCGGCGCGGGGACGGCCCGATGCGACCAGCCGACCCATGGCGCGAATACATGGAGCTTCGCGATCCGTCTGACCCGCTGAACTCCGCTGAACTCCTCTTCCTCCTCCTCCTTCTCCTCCTCCCTCGTTCTCCTCCTCCAGCCCCTCACTCCGCAACCCTCACTGCAGACTCCTCCCTCCTCTCTCCTCCATATTCCTGCTTTCTCTGGTATGAGACGCACTAGAGATATCCAGTGGTATCTCGATCGAGCAACCCATGATGACTCTCGATTTAGCCTTTGTAGCCTCTCGCTCGACATTGCGATCGATGCGATGAGAGGAGATTTGACTAAGCCCCAGGCCCTTGAGCAGTGGGCCGAGGGGGGGGTCCTTGCGAGACTTGGTCTGCTGCGAGGTGGTGTGAAGGAGGCCTCCCACCTCTTAGGACTCAGGAGCACACATGGGGTATATTATATTGCTCGGCTAGACAGTACCATCAGGTCTCCACTGGATCCCAACTCCTGTTTGCCCTCACTCATCGTTTGTCCGTGCACCTGAAGGTTGGCTCTTGAGGGTGGCTTGAGCACTCTATCCCTGCCACTTGGATCTCATCTGCCCCCTCCTCTTGCTGTTGGCTTCCCCTTGCTGCTCGTTGCTCCCCCCCATCGCTTCAATGACGAATGTCGACCAATACGAGCATTGGCCAGGAGATACGGACATGTCCGCAATGGGACGTGCTCCCACCCGCAACTTTGTCGCTCCGTCTGCCAGTTTTGGCTGAGGAGCTCAGAAGCACACCTGGTGCAGGCAGATGCTCTCACGACAAAGGCAAACACCTCACCCTCCCAGGTAACGAGGGACGTCAGTTTCGCACCTCAGTTTACCCTTGTGGTCTTTGTGGTGCCCTGGCCCGTTCCATCCTCGATTCTCTGGCCCAGGTCTTGGCCGCAGATGACGAGGCCAACCTCGTGATTGCTCGCGGCTCCCCCGAGGTGCTGAAAGCGTGGTTTAATGTCTTAGTCCTGTGGAGCTCGGAGTCTGATTCTAGATCCCTTGTTCCCTCAGACTTTGGCGCGAAAGCCCAGAGAGGCACACGCGCTGACCCAGAGAGGCATAGGTTCCAGACCCAGCCTGGGCTCACGACACGGCCTCGCCAGATCCAGGCGAAGCCGAATATGAGCAGCAGGTTCTTGATCTGCAGGCCACTGCTGCTAAGGAGGCAGGAGCCCAGGCGTTTGCCCCCTTGACGGCCAGTTTGGCCCACCTCCTCTCCCTTTCTCGCCTCCGACGTCGTCGTTGAGGTCGTCTCCTTGTCCCCCCCCCCCCTCCCCCTCCAGCCCTGAGCGAGGCCCAGCTGGCCCGCATTCAGGCCAACAGGGCGGCAGCGAGAACCCGCAGAGCCGAACGTGCCCGCCTCGAGCACGAGGCGCGCGCCCCCTGTGGGGCGCTGGAAGGCTCGGGCCCCCCCTCTGTTTCTTTCTCCTTCGAGCGCTGGCTGGGAGGTGGCGAAAGTGGCGGAGCCTCGTGAGGTCCGTGGCACCACCCTCCCAGTCAGGCTAAAAGGTTCGGAGCACGCAAAAGCGAGGCCCAGCGTTGAACAAACAAACCTCCATCTTCCCTGCTGTCCCCCACCTCCCCGTGGAGGGAGCATGTGGGACTGTGTGGGGCCTTTTTGCTCCTGTCTGCTTCTCTCACTTTTTTGTTTGTATGTTTATATGGTCCTCTCTCTCTCTCTCTCTGGTTCTCTTTCTCTGTGTCTCTTTTCTGTCACGTGTGTATATATATAGATCGTTTTCTCTCTTCCTCTCTCTCTCTCTCTCTAGATATATATGTGTGTGTGTCTCGCTCTCCCTCTCCCTCTCTCTAATCCGCCACGAAAGGATATGTTCGTAAACCTCCACAAAGAGAATATCCTTGGTATCCGCCACCAAAATGGACCAATAGTGTGGCAACCGCACCAGGTGGGCGAGGGCCCACATGGGAACCAGCCAAACAAAAACGCGCGGGAGTCTCATGTGTATATTTGCCCGTGGCTGTGGCGGCCCCGTAGGCCGTGGAGGCAGTAGGCCACCAACTCCAAGAAATCATTGGAGCCCCATTCCTGTGTTATGGTTTCGTCGGTTGCTCTATATGTTCTGTTTGGCTGGTACCCCCTCTGGTCTCTCGGTCATCTTGTATAGTTATCGTGTTTCTATTGTGAGAGGAGCATAAGAGGGGGCATATCCGAATTGCATTCTTATGATGGGCCGGTTGAATCACTATTGGAAGAAGGGGAAGGGAGGGTGAAGGAATCCTTCCCCCTCCCTTCCGCACTACGAGTTCTTGGAACTCGTGGTGCATTTGCGTTGTATCATTTTTGGGGTCCGATTGTACTCAAAGTGGAGGAGGGACCACTACCCATTCCGATGTACCCTCTGTCGTCCCTTCCCATCCTCCCTTATCCTCCCATTTTCTCGCCTCCTCCCTCCTCCATTGCATTGCTTTGAACTGGATTGCGTTACGTTGCATTGCGGTGTATTTCATCATGTTGCATCGCATTTCGTCGCATTCGCAATGCGTTAGGGTTTATTATTGGCCCTCGGCTTAAACGGAGCCCAAGGGTCGAAGGGAGTACGTTGAAACGCATCGCGTTGCATCCTGCTGCATTGCATTACGTCGCATTTGCATTGCATTTGAGACCCGCCAACGCCCTCGGTCTAGACAGAG